TGGGTGTAGATGTACCACTGGTTTTTAGTCCACTCATCTGTGGATGGGCACTTAGGTTGTTTCCAAATCTTAGCTATTGTAAATTGTGCTGCTATGAACATAGGGGTGCATATATCCTTCCTGATTGGTGTTTCTGGTTAGATACATAGATTTACTATAATTCCAATAACAATAAGAATAAACCCATGTTTTGATGTCATAAATGTTTGCAGGTTAAATTATATCTGCAAGTATTGCCTACAAGTTCCCAGCAAAAGAGCAATAGTAGGGAAGTATGCGCAGAAAATGCAGAGAGCAAACTTGAATTTCACACAGTGTCTGGGCAGGACCCCCTAGCTCCTCATGAGCCCTCCATGGTCCCCCTGAGTCTCTGTTGAGCACTGAGGGCCTGGAGGACTCCAGTTGAGCACAAGGCCTTGCAGACTGGTGCCCACAGGTGGGGACACTTCTCACTAAAGCAGTGGGGATGGCACCGTCACCCACAGCAGGTCCCACCTTGGGCAGAGCAGCCACCTGTCCTGCTCTGAGAAGCTCAGGGCCCCCACCTGTGTGGTGAGGGCTTCCATCCAAGGGGCTCTGGAAATGAGCAGCTGAGGGAGTGTCCCCCTGTCCTCTCTGCACCTCTCTGGCTTCTGCTCCTCCCTCAACCTGGGCCCAACATCTCCCTCTGCCATGACCCCCCTACCTGTCAGCTGCCTCACTTCCCCCCTCTTAGGCCTGACTCCTTGGGGTGTGGGGAGAATCCTCGGGGACCTTGGAACCCAGTAGTTCCCTGAAATTTCTCCCGGACTCTTGGCCCCCCTGGGACACAAGCCTGTCTTTGAGTTGAGGGTGGTGGTGGGGCGCTAGATCCTCTGAGACTAAGAACTTCCCTTGAGTGGTCACTGTTCCCTCTGAGCAAAGGGGACCCAGGATTGATCAACTGTGGACAGGGTCCCTGTTGTTGGAGAGCTGGGGTACCAGAGGGTCTTGGGAAGGACAAAGTGTGAGACTCTGGAGCCAACCCTGGGCTCCCCACCTGACTCAGACTCCTCCTGTATCTGCCCTGTGGCCCCTCAGACCCTCCCAGTGCCCACCTGGTACTTTGTGGACCAGGTGAGGGGGAGGGATGAGTAGGGGGAGGTGGGTCTCATCCTATAGCCCCTCACTCCCTTTCAAACCCATAACCAGGGGTCCTCAAACTACAGCCCGCGGGCCACATGCGGCCCGCCAAAACATTTATCCGGCCCCCGGGTGTTTTTGCCGAAGCTGCCTGTCCTGCTTAGCAGCCTACTGGTCCTGGACCAGCAGTGCGCATGTGTGGAATGTCTGAGGGACAGTGAACTGGCCCCCTGTTTAAAAAGTTTGAGGAACTCTGCATAATCCTTCCGCGGACAGGAGCCTGAGCTGACAGCTCAGCGGACAGGGCCGGGGATTCCTCACCTGAGACCAGGAGCTCCAGGGCATCACTGGGGAGTGAGAGCAGGAAGGGGGAGGTGCTGCGTGAGCTGTAGCACCTGTAGGTGCCCCCGTGGGCTGAGGTCACAGGACTCATGGAGAACTCTGCCTGGAACTGCTGAGCTTGGTGCTTTGATGTAAGATGCAGGGGTGGACCGGGTACCCTGTCCATGGACAGAAGGAACGTGTCCCTCGGGCTCTGTGACTGACACAGCAGGGTCACGTGCTCTCCTGAGACCACCCTGGGGCCTGGCTGCACCAAGAGGGAGGGTCTGTCACGCAGCCATCCTAGAGAGAGGGAGGGAGGGTGAGGGTTGCCTGCCAACTGTGTTGTGACCTGAGAGTCACCAGGCCTCTCTCTGAGGTCCTTACTCTCTATCTGACTCGGTTTCTCTGAGTCTCCCCCTCTCCCCTCCTACCCCCTGCCTCTCTTTCTCTCTCCCTTCCTGGGCCCTGCACTGTCATTCTGGCCTCGACCCCTGAGATCCCCAGCAGGGCCTGTGCAGAGTCCAGTCCCTGAGTGAACCCACTGGCTCCTCACCTGCCACCAGGACAGGCTCTGTCCAGAGGCCACGATGGGGCCCTGCTGGCTCAGGAGGGAGGGCTTCCCAGACTCACCTGGGGAGACCAGACGTGAGTTACAGGGGCTGCTCCTCCCATAAACCCCTTCTCCTGGCCTGGCCCCCAGGTCTCACTGTCTCTCTCTGTGTCTCTGATCCAGTAGCCCCTGTGCTTCCCTCCCCTTCCCCTCTCACATGGGGCTCCCCTCACAACAAAGATGCCCACATGTGTCTGGTGCCATAATCCATGGATGGAACAATAATGGGACTCACCTGGGACCAGGAGCTCCAGGGGGTCACTGGAGTTTGAGCACACGTGGGGGCCATTCCTGTAACAGCCATAGCATCTGAAGGTCCACCTGTGGCTGGGGGTCACGGGGCCCACAGGGAACAGGGCCTGGTACTTCCTGCTGGGCTGTGGCTGTGAGTCCAAAGCCCAGAAGAGCCTGTGATCTCCTTCCTTAGTCAGAATGAACCTGTCAAATCCCTGCCCTGAGCCACACTGGAGGGTCACGTTCCCTCCTGAAGTCAAGACAGGGCTGGGCAGGGCTGAGAGGCTGGGTTTGCTGTAGGCTCCTAGGAGAGGAGGAGGCAGCGTGTTAAATGGGCTCACACCTCCCTCATGTCACCCAGGGCTGGGCTGTGAGAGGGAGACACCCTGAGAGCAGACCCCCTTCCTGAGGGCAGAGCCTGAGGCTGGGACCCCTGAGTGTCCTCTCACCTGTCACCACCAGCTCCAGGCGGTCACTGCGCTTTGATCGGCCAGCAGGGCTGCGATAGTAACAGTGATATATCCCTGCATCATGCTCTGTTATGTGTGTGATGGAGAATTTGGCCTTGTGCCCGGGCTCCAGCGGCTTCTCTCTTTTCCATGGTGCTGGGCTCCCCCTCTTTCTTTAGACGGTACTCCTCAGCCCCTGGGGTCCCCTGACACCAGATGGTCACGGGGCTCCCAGAAGGGACCACAGGGCCTGGCTCAGCCCTGATGGTGGGTTTGGGGATGGGCCCTGAAAGGAAGCCAGTAGCTGGGTTATAAGACATTCCCACCCTCAGTCCAGCTGTCAGGCCAGAACCTTCCCCGATGTTCCCCATCTGTCAGCCCAGAATTGCTGTTCTCCATCCCCAGCTGCCTGTGGTGTGGCCCCTCATCTCCAGGGAGGAGTGGGACCTGGGACACCTGGGGAGACTCACCTGCCTGCACTTGGGTCCTGAGGCCCACACTCAGCCCTGGAAGAGAGTCCCTGTGAGAGATTTGCCCTGAGCAGCACCCTCCTCCCCATGAGCCTCCTGAGTCCTGGGGTCCTGCATGACCAGGGTCCCCTCCCCCTCCCATCTCACCGAGGCAGAGCAGGGCCGTGTGGGTGGGAGTCATGGCGTCTCCTCTCTTTACACCTCGCTGTGCAGATGCAGGAGGCCACAGTGTCCTCTGAACAGACAGACACACAGGGTGTGGTCCCTGGGAGGCTGGCCCTCCCTGTGACGGGGTTCTCACCTCAGCAGCCTCAGAGAAAGGGGAACATTCACTTCACTTCCCAAAGGCCTGCATCTGGTTCCCCGCATCTATTTCCACGTGAAGCAGGAAATAGACCCTCAGCCTCCTGAGACTCCCCTTGCCGGTGAGGTGACACAGGCATGTCCTTCCCTGACAGAGCCTCCCCCACAGGGTCTCCTTCCTCCTCAGCCCGTCCATCAGCACCTCCCTGTGGTCCTCACCATGGACAGTGTCACCCGGGCCCTGGAGACGCTTCAGGAAGACGTGAGTCCCTGTGGCCTGCAGAGCTCAGATCAGCAGGGACAGGCTCACTCTCTTACTTTGCAACTCAGGGCGATGTCACTGTGACAGTGAGCACAGAGGGGAAATGCAGGGAAATAAGGGAAGGAAACAGGTCCCCTTTCTTGGCCCCAGAGTGTGGCTTTTTTTCTATCAGCCACCTTCTTCTTTTTGTTTTTTTCTTAGCCACAGCATCTACGGCACCTTCCTGGGGACAAGCTTCTGAGGCAATCTTCCTCCTCAGTGACTCTTGTTTTCTGTGTTCAAGTCTCTTCCTCATCCTGTGGTCCAGCCATCAAGCTTTAGGGGACACTGATTTGGGTTGGAGTTCTGATTTTGACTTAAAACAGACATTTATGTATGTATGTATGTATGTATGTATTTATTATTTTTGTTGCTTACAAGAGACCCATTTTTATTTTTTGAAATGCTTATTGTTGAAAGTATTACAGATATCACCTTTTTTCTCCCTATTCTGCCCCTCCACCCGGTTCCTGCCCTTCCCAGGCCTTCATCACCCTATCACCAGTGTCCTTTGGTAATGCATATATGCCCACAAGTTTCTTTGTTTAATCTCTTCCTGACCATCTCCTTCTTCACTCTGAGATTCATCAGTCCATGCTTCTGGTTATCCTTTATTCTCATCAGTTTATTTTGTTCTTTAGATTCCTTGATTGGTTATTTTGATTTTTAGATCAATTTTTGCTAGATATGTATTTATTGCCATTTTCTTGTTTCTTCTTCTCCTTCTCCTTCTTCTTCTCCTTCTCCTTCTTCTCCTTCTCCTCCTCCTCCTCCTCCTCCTCCTCCTCCTC